AGGTGGTGGGAAGCGAGGGATACGAGGATGAGAGGAATCAGGAGAGGAGGGGAAGACCTGAGAAAGCACTGCTCCTACAGCAAAGTCTGACGCATCGGTGGTAAGGATAAAAGGGCGATCAAAATCGGGTAGGTGAAGAACCGGTGCACATGTCACCGCCTTCTTGAGGGCACGGAAGGCGTCCTCGTGGAGGGGTGTCCAAGCCCAGGGAGGGTGGAGGTAAGGACATAGGAATACCTAGCGTATCCCCGGATGAAATTACTATAGTAGCTGGTCAGGCCTAGGAAGCTGCGAAGCTGCTTGGCAGATGTGGGGACGGGCCACTCCGCAATAGCAGTGATCTTTGCGTCGTCCATGTGGAGACCCTGGTCAGACACGTAGTGTCCTAAGAAATCCACTTTGTGTTGGGCAAAGCGGCACTTGCTCAGCTTGGCGTAGAAGCCATGTCTGCGCAAGCGGTCAAGGACGTCGCGGAGGTGTCTGAGGTGCTCCTCAAGGGTACGACTGTAGACCAGGATATCGTCGAGGTAGACGAGAACATACTGCTCCAGGATGTCCCTGAAGATGTCGTTCATCGTCCTCTGGAACGTGGCGGGTGCATTGGTGAGGCCGAATTGCATCACCGTAAACTCGTACTGGCCGAAGCGCGATCGGAACGCTGTCTTCAGCTGGTCGGCTGCAGCGACGCGGATCTGATGGTAACCGCTACGAAGATCAATCTTCGTAAAGAAGCGGTTGCCTGCTAGGCGGTCGAACAGCTCGTCGGAACGAGGCATGGGGTAGCTGTTCTTAACCGTATAGCAGTTGAGGCCGCGATAGTCGATGCAGAGACGAAGAGTTCCATCCGCTTTGCGAGCAAAGAGGACGGGTGCACCCCATGGGGAATTGCTGGGTTTAATGAAACCCAGTCTCAGGAGCTCCTCAAGCTCACGCTTGAGTTCGGTGGCCTCGGGGATCGGGAGTCTGTAGGGTGCCTGGTGGTGAACACGATAGTCAGGCACAAGCAGGATGGAGTGCTCGACGTCGCGCATCGGTGGGATGCCAGCGTACGAGAACGGCGATGGGAAAACGTCGTGGTACTCTCGAATGAGGTCACGAACTGCGGGCTCCAAGTCGGTCGTATATCGTGCGAGTTCCTCAGCGTCAGCGTCAGCGCGCGACGGCGGGGTGGACTCGACGGACGGCGGAGGGACGGAAGTAGAGATGAGAGCCATGGAGATGGAAGGAGGGTTTGACTCCAGAGGGATGAGCTCGGCGTCGGGACAGGGTGGGTCATAGTGTAAGAGATCCGTCACGTTCACCATAAAGAAGGTGACGTCGTCCGTTCGGATGAAGTGAGCGAACTGCCGAGGCGAGGTGACAGTGATAGAAGGAGATAGCGTGGGCACGAAAGGCTCCGGGGAAGGAGGATTGGGGCGTGGTGTCGCGGTGGTACCTATGAAAGGTACGCGATACGTCTGCCCACACTTCGTTTTGAGAACGAGAGTGTTGGTCGCCCAATCGGCCTCGGTGCTGCGGAACCGGCGAGACCACAGAGTGCCGAGAATGAAGTCGTACTCCGTCTCCATCACATCGAAATGTGCAAAGGAGCGGTGGCGACGAGACGCCGGGGAACAATCAGACGGCTCGAGAGTGAGGAAGAAAGGGAGGTCGGTGACCGTCTGATCGAAGAAGCGTTGGGTCTTGTCATCCCCTAAGGTAACGGAGATGGGAGTCGGAGACCCTGTCGTGGGTAAGCGGGCTTCTTTCACCACGCGTGGGTGAATAAAGTCGCCCTGAGAACCGAAATCCCACAGCGCTGAGTACACCCTCGTGGAGGTCCCGAGTCGTACTGGGATGATCGGGAGGGTGCGATCAGGGTCAGAGAGGATGGCGAGAAGGCGACGCAGTGCAGCGACATGGAGGGTGAGTCGCTCCTGACGAGCCTGGAGCATGCTCAAGTCCAGAAGAGAGGACACAACGTCCTCGCGAGTAGCAAGCTGCTCGCTGCAACGTGCTGAGCGAATGGCTCGATGCGTCGGTAGTCGCGGCGGGGAAGGAGGGGA